TATGAAACCTTACAGAACCTTGTTGAATCCTCCTGAAGCCGTACATTATAGTCACAGAACCCTTTCAAAACCTCAAAACCCTCATAGAACCCTTTTAACGAACACCTGCAAATTCTTATAGATCCGCGGCAGAATCGTACAGAACCCCTGTGAAATCTTATAGTTCATTCCAGAAAGTTGGAGCATGGATTTAGGAAGAGTAGTGCTGGGATCCCCTTTGCTCTCTACCTTAAGGGCATGAGGATCAGGATGTTCCAACATTCTGCAGGAAATGGGCGCGGCTGCGACCCCGTGTGCCCATCTAGTGTCTGCGCGGCCGAGCGATTCACCATGAGAGAAGACTCTGCTGGTGAGTCCGGGGCGTCTGCAAAAGAACGGCGTGTCGTTGGGACTGCCTGCGGCTGAAGACTGCTTGGAGGCACCGTGGCGCCTTTGGAGATGACGGCTCTGGAGCTGTCAGGAAAAGTGCCGTTGCACTCGGGAGCTGTTAGGCCAGCGAAGCTCGGAGCTGGGGCAGCGACTAGAACGGGCCGTTGCTGCGCTTGGGAGCTGTTAGGCAGCGAGCCAGCAAGTTGTTAGGCAGCAAGCCGGCACGCTCGAGAACTGTTAGTCGGTGCAAGCTGTTAGGCAGCGAACCGGCGAGCAGCCGGCGAGGCTGAGAATCTTGGTAATTAGGCAGCGAGCCGTTGTGCTCCGAAGATGTTAGGCAGCGAGCCTTGTTGGGAGTTGTTAGGCAGCGAGCTGTCGATGCTGCGGGCTGTCGAGCCGGTGCGCTTCAAAGCTAGCGAGCCGGTGCGCTCCGAAGCTGTTAAGCAGCACCGTCGCGCTCGGAAGCTGTTAAGCAGCGAGCGGTTGCGCTCCGGAGTTGTTACGCAACGAGCCGGCACGCTCCAAGCTGTCGAGAAAAAGCGATGCGCGCTTGCGCGCGCGAGCCTGTTGGCGCACGGCAGTTCGGAAGCTGTCAGGCAGCGAGTTCCGGAAGCTATTCCGGAAGCTGTTAGAGAAGCTATTCCGGAAGCTGTTGGGGAAGCTCTTCGGGAAGCTGTTGGGGAAGCTATTCGGGAAGCTGTTAGAGAAGCTATTCCGAAAGCTGTTGGGGAAGCTATTCCGGAAGCTGTTGGGGAAGCTATTCGGGAAGCTGTTAGGCAGCGAGCCGTCGCATTTGAGAACTGTTAGGCAGCGAGCCGTCGCGCTTTGGAAGTGTTAGGCAGCGAGCCGGAAAGCTCTGGAGCTGTTCCGGAGCTGTTAGGCAGCGTGCCGTCGCGCTCCGGAGCTGTTTGCCCGAAAAACCCGTTTTAAACCCTGTTTGCAAGGACTTTGGAGACCCAAAGATTGCTTGAGCTACGGGCCTTAGGCCGCTAAATCGACAGTGCTTCGAAATGCATGATTCTCACGGCCCGTAGCCAACATAGAGTCGAGCGCTGGAACACCCTCCCCAGAGAGAGCGGAAAGACCTTGTTCCATCCTTTCCATGTTGTCGGTTTCGGGCCAGGCGCCTCCAGGCCCTGCGATGATGCCTTCCGCAAGGTCTTCGAGAGCACAGATTTTCTTTCAATGCTTCACCCCCGCCCGCTTGCTGCTAGGTCCTCAGGCCGTGACACACCTACGGGGGAAGAGCCTCCTATCAAGCGCCTGAGGCCCACTGGCAGAGGTCAGGGGCGCGGTCGAGGAGGAAAGAATGCGAGCAAGGGCTCGCAAAACGCTCGAGTGCCAGCTGAGCTGCTGGCCTGGGGTTGCGCCGCAGCGACCCCAAAAGGTCCCATTCACTCTTCTTGAGCAGTTCAGTTTGTTGGCGTTCCCTCAACAACACCGCAGCTTGTCACCGTACATGAAACTCCGGCACGGATAGGGGCTACATGCCGCGAGCTTTTCAAAAAAACGACACCTGTTTAGATTTTGATGCTGTTAACTGGGCCCAATTCTGGGTCCACCGGACGGCCCCAAAAATGGGCGCTGCGTACTGACCCAGCACAAGCAAACCCATTTTGGGAGCCGTCTGGCGGACCTAGACTTGGGCCCAGTTATGACAGTGATAAAATCTAAAACATGTCTGTCGTTGCATGTAGCCCCTATCGGTGCCGGAGTTTCATGTATGGTGACACATGCGGTGGCAACCTTTATGACCTGGTTCCGCGGTCCTCTTTGCGAGTCGTAAAACCAATTCGAAATCGGTAGCCCTGCAAGGGCCCCCCCAGTTCCAACTCAATCTGCCCATTCACTCTTCTTGAGCAGTTCAGTTTGTTGGCATTCCCTCCACAACACTCATAACGCACCACTGCCGACCCGTTTGGAAAATGATCTGACTACAACGCTAAAGAGAAGTCCGTGGTCAAAAAGCGAGCATGGGTCCACCACCTCGCTGTTTATTTAAACTTAGAGAACCTAAACGGGGTGTGGGCCCGGGTGGAGAAAAATGGGACCCGGGCAGGACCCAGGTAGGACCCGGTGAGACCCTGTCGGACCCGGTAGAACCCAGTCTGCGAAAAAGGGACCCGGGTGGGACCCGGCTGGAACCCCCCTCTCTGGGGAGGGTGTTCCAGCGTTCCACGCTGTGATAGCTACGAGCCTTGTTTCGAGATATACACGAGAATCGCGCACTTCGAAGCACTGTCAATTTTTCGGCTTAAGGGCCGCAGCTCAAGGTTTGCAAACAAGGCACGTGCCGGCTCGGAAGCAATTTGAGGGTGCGCGGAGAGCTCGGGAGCTGTTAGGAAGCAGCCGTCGAGCTCGGGAGCTGTTAGGAAGCGAGCCGTCGGGCCTGCGAGCTGTTAGAAAGCGAGCTGTCGGGCTTGGGCTGGAGCTGTTAGGCAGCGAGCCAGCGAGGCTGGGAGCTGTTAGGCAGCGAGTCACAACCTGGGTTCAACCCCAGCCCCCAACCCGCCCCTGCGGGGCATGCTCGTCTATGTGGTTGTCCAATCTTTCTGTCTGTTTGCCAGTAGTGGCGATGTCTGTCTGTCTCTGTGTCTGTCTGTCTGTCTGTCTGTCTGTGTGTCTGTCTGTCCATCTGCTGGCGAAAAAGATGCACCAGCTGCGAGCCACGCGGCTTTCTGTCTTTCGCAAAAATCAAGAGTTCCCTTCAGCCCGGCCAAGGCCGCCTTCAAGTTTCGCTGCAGAGCTCCCCCCACCATGCACAATTAAACGTCAATCTAAGCACTTTAGAAGTGAAAGTGAATGCTCTGTCACAGATGCAGTCAGCTCAACACTGCCATTCATACGCGGCATGTTGCTCTTTCCGACTTGGATAGAGTGTCCGCCCACTGCCCGTCGTTGGAGCCAAAAACACTTGTCTGACTCTATAGGCCGCATTTATCGACTTCCAGTCACTTCTCCATCTGACAAGAGTTGTATACACTTTGGTTTCCGATCCGCTCAACTCGCGTCGCGGATGAGAATTGAAGCCGCGCTGGCTTGTAACCTTGCAGCCGTGCCATTTACTGACTATCAACATTGTACGTGATCTTGGAGTGTATGCCTTGGAAACGCTGCACTGCAGCATGTCGGTGTGCCGATGCCTGGAACTCTCACATCTGCTTCCTGCTGTTTCCTTGATGGCAAGCTGCACGCTGGTGTGGTATCGACACTGCTTGTACAGTCTTTCTGTCTGAGTTGGACACTTCCAGCTGGTTTTGTATCTGGTGGTTCGGTGTTTTGGCTTCCACTGCCATTCCATGTGCTTTACCGGTGTGCGCTCCGTTGTCCTCTAGCATCGTTGAGCCGCGGCACTCATGGCACTCTTGCCTCTCTTTCATTGCGTGGCATGGTTACACTATGCCGGTGTGCTCTTGACATGTTGTCGATTGGGTTGCTTGTGCAAGGACCCTCATGTTCAGGGGCCTCCACATTACGACTCCCATGTTAGGCGGGAGGTTTATTGATCAGGGGGTCTACCTTACCCCAAACGTCTTTCCGACATGTCAGTGTTGGTTTTGATTGAAGGTTGTAGCTTGCTTTGATAGATTTGAGATCGCAACCCACGTGGAAACTTGCGACTTCGTGTGTTCAAGATACAGGTTTCAGACTTTTCCAGCTGCTGGCTATGTCTCACGTCCTTCTCTGGTTGGGGTCTGCAATCCTAAACCCAAACTCTCTGCACCCTGAGCCCTCCAAGCTTATATGCAGAGGTTTCGATTTCGGGCTGCAGGGAATTAACCTTCGGCGTCAGGCGTTCATGTGATCGCAGCCTGGCTTGAACACCACAAACCCAAACCGACAGACACTGTGGGCCCGCCCCACTCCCGGGACCTCCAAGCTGTGCATTCGACCGCCGGTCACCCGGACTCTTTCCAACAACCTCAAATCCGACACTCCCGAAAACCATGCAGCCCAACCCTATCTCCGAAGCCACAAATCAACGAAGCCAAAACCTGAATTTTCACCGTTTCCATCCCGCCAAACCTCAGCTCCTGCTTCCTGTCGTCCCATGGCGGCGGCCAAAGCGAGTTCCCCGTCGCTGCCAAGCACTCCGTCCGGGCCTGAGTTTTTTTGCGACATTGGGAAACCCGGAAATCGTTGCCGTTGCTTCTGAAGCATGTAACCAAAGGGCTCAAGTTATTACCAATATAATTCCTTAGGGTTCCTCATTTTGAGTGTTTTGTAATATCCCCCAAAACCCTATTCTTATTCTGAGGGCCCCTATAGTACTCGGACCTACTCGGCAGCAGCATCTAGGCTGAGAAGACGAGACTCCAACAAGGGCCTTGGGGAAGAAACCTGTGGGGATTTCAGGAAACTTGTCGTTTCCATTCCAACCCTAAACCCTAAACTAAACCCTAAGCAGCCTTCAAAACTTTGAGATCGGAGCTGCGTCTGGCTTGAGTGATTCGCATATGGCGACATGTGGCTAAATGCATTCAACACCCCGCTTCGGGTTTGATGCTTTTCGCCTATCCCTGCTTTGTTCCTGAATTACCCAGAACCCAGCTATTCCTCAAATTATCCAGCAGTGCCAGCCTGGTTTTTGTAGTATTTAGGGTTTCAGCCTTTCCTCTCTGCCTGTGCGAATGGGCTCCTGCACCTCGCAGCGTCAGCTTGCCGACGGGCACCGTTTTCAAGACATCGCGGCTTTGGCAGGGATCAGAGAGGTTAAGGCCCGGGGAAGTCCAATAAGTAGCAGTGAGTACAGGGCTTCGGGAGGAAAGGGTCCGGTTGGAGAGCCTGACCTTAATGGAGCTTTGCACCCGGTAAGGGATCTACAAGAGCCCAAGGGCCCTAAACCCTTAAAAATCTGGGACAGATCCTGAAGCAACAAGGACTCTTCAGCTCTTCAAGAGCCCCAGGAGGATCCGACGGACCCCTTCTACCCGAGACCCTTAAGCCCTTGACCCGAAACCCGAAACCACAAGAGCCCGAGGAAGAGCTAAGTTCTCCTTTCCTGCGTCCTGAGTCTCTAACCCCTGAACCTTGAACACCCGAGAGTTCAAGAAAGATCTGCAAAGGTCCTTGTCTCCGAAGGCATCCAAAGCTCGACCCGATGCCTGAAAGTCCCAAACCCTGAGAGCAAAAGAAGCCAAGGAAGATCTCGACCTCCTCTTCGGCTCCAAGCCGTCCACGAGCTCGCCCTCTGTTGTCCCTGCTGTGCCGAGGGGCGGCGTGGAGGCGGGCCTTTGTAAACCTAGACCCTCTTAGAGCCCTCTTATAGGAAGCCCTTCAAGGACCCTGCTTTGGAACAGCCAGAGTGTCTGTTGTGTGCTTGCTGGGTGTTGCTGCTGATGTTTGTCCCTTTTACTTTTGATGTTCAGTGGCATGCACCAACCTTCGATGTGGACTGGGCCATCTTGGCATCAGCCACTCTTCGTCTGCACCACCAACACACGACAGTCTTCCTGTCGTGTGCCGGGAGAGCACAGGCGAGGTCCGCCGACGCGTCCTGGGTGAAGAGACTTCGGCAAGAGCGGGTGCGTCCCCTCTATCGCTCTGGCGAGCCTCGGAATGCAGTCTGGGGTTTATAAGCTCTGAGGATTCAAATCTAGGACTTGAAGATGAAGGCTCGGGGATGATGCTTGTGGAGCCTTGGGTGCTGAGGGTTTTTGGCCCGGTCGTAGGTTTTTCTGCGATGTGTTTGACTGGTTCAGGGGCTTGGATCGCCAGTGTTGAAGGCTTAGAGGCCTAGACGGCGTGGCGAACCGCACGCTTGACCCCGAAAAGAGGATCCCATACAAGTGCGATCACCCCCGGGCCGGCCCAGACCCTAATGCCCACAAAAAGAAAAGAAAGAGACTTCTACAGACGACTCCTGAAACAAGGGGTGATTCGGTTTTCTGGCTGAGGATCCGCAGGTCTGGTGGTGTTTGGAGCATGTAGTGAATCTGACATCAGGTAAGGTCTGCTTGACGTTTAGATGCGGTCAGTCTTCAGTAAGAGCCCTTCGATGTCACCTTAAAGCTGCATAAACAAAGCATATCTTTCCCCTTCCACGAATCCCACGTCCCTCATACCCAAGATGCTGAACCTGAACCCTTTAGATCGCAAGCTCCAGCAAACACCCCAGGCCAGCCTACAGCCCCAACACCCGGGTAAGACCTCTCATACCACATGGGTGAGGGCCCCTTTTGAAAGCCTTTTTTATGAGGGTGCCGCCTTTTTCTGGGTTCTCTAATTGGAGACCCAGAGCACCCAATGTCCCTTAATTAAGGAATATACCCTAAATCATAATATTAAGGCCGTATACTCCTTAATTAAGGGGTATTGGGTTTTCTGGGGAACTACCAGCATAATAAGCTTGGGCTCAGACCGAGCTCCCCAGGAGCTGAAGGCCGTGCACCTGGAGCTCACCACCCGCTGCAACGCTGCATGCCCGCAGTGCCCGCGGAACCTCCAGGGAGGGGTGGAGAACCCAGCGCCCAGGCTGCAGAAATTTTAAGGTGGGAGTGGGTTCAATTGGTTCGTCGCTTGGCTCGTTTTACTTGTCTCTTTTGAGCTTCGTTCAGCGACCCGAGACTTTACATAGTGTATGCGAGCCCTAGGCCGTCACCGTCAGCTTGAAACGTTTCTTAGGGGCCTTCTTAAACCCCTACGCTAAACGTCCGGGGACCTAAAAGTCTTGCACACTGGCCTGACGTCCCAAATGCCAAGAAGCTTTTATGACGTAGTTGGGTCTGTAAGTTTTAAAGTCTTATCGCCTCGTCAAACCTGAAAGTGTAGATTTTTGGCGAATGAACTTGGCCGGTAAGTTCAAGAACAGAACCGAAAACCCCGCTGGTTCAGGTGCTAGCCGCGCACCACTCGGAGCTTTCGCTCGAGGACGTCCGGGCCATCTTACCACCAGGCCATTTTTGGCTGAGATGGCCTCTGAGTTTAGGGTTTAGTGTTTTTTCCCTTTGAGTCTCTTGTCGGTACACATGAGGGCAGCCGTAACTGCACCACTGCTGGAGCCTGTAAAGCCCTGAACTCGCGACGCGAGATTCTCAATCCTAGTCCCTGCAGCACTAATCCTTAAATCCGACACCCCTGAAGCCCTAAGCGTTTGGAGGCTTCCTCCGGCAGCTGCGGAAGGTCGGGCTTGCGGGAGAGTGTCTCTTGAGTTGGGTGCCTTAAGCGAACCCCAAACAGTCCTTGTGAACTGTTGGCACGCCCCTTCTTACACCGACTAACCGGTATCGTTGTGGACTACAGCCCTTTTGGCGGACGAGTGGAAGTTCTATCTTCCGGGGGAGTGGAAGCAGCCCTGCCCCAGGTATATCTCTGCGGCAACTTCGGTGACCCGGCGGTGGCCCAGGACCTCTTGTTGTTTTGAACAGTGTAGGTACCGGACTTGGTTTTGAAGCTTTGGGTGGTGCAGAGAAATTCAGTTCTGAGGTTTCGGGACGTTGTCTCTGGCTCTTTGGAGTTCGTTCCTTGTTGATTTTTTTCTTTTGGAGGACGTCCCCCGACCTAGCAGTCGGTTGGGCTGGGGTCTATCAGGGTGAGTGTGGGCCAAATTCGGCCCCAAAAATGCGTACCCTCGGTCAAGCCCTGGGACTGCAGCTAACACATTGACATCAGTCTTCGATATACCTCGGACTGTCCGGACAATGTGGCCGCACGACTATATACAGGGTCACAGCTGTCGGCTCCCCGCGATTGGAGCTTGACATCTATTTCAGGCTGTAGCAGTGGGGCTCACTGCTTCGCAATCCGAAGATGGAACAACTTGATGTGGTCGTGCGTGTTGGCACGTTATATTTCAGGGTTGCAGCGTTGCTGTTCCGCCTTACACCTGCCTCCCACTTCCCCCCAGTCGTAGCATAGATGCTCCCCGACAGACGCAGAACCAGACTTGCCAGACGTTGAGGCCGCGCGACTATTATGCACTGGACTCCCCACGTTTGGAGCTTGACACGTATTCCGTATTCCAGGCAAGCATGAGCACCCTGGTTCGTTTTGATCTAAGCCTTTCTCCTTGCTTCTGCTGCTGCACTGACCTGCTGGGGGCCATGACGTCTTCGGAGCCCCATGCCCCACTTGCTTCTCAATCCGTAGGGGCGGAAACAACGTGGGTGTCCATTCCCTTGCCAGGGGATCATCCATCCATCCATTTTATGCATCCAGCAGGCCCATCCATCCAGCCAGCCAGCCAGCCAGCCATCCATCTCTGTTTGGAGGGTTTCAGTCCCCAGCAACATGATGCGTTGTGGCTCTGGTATCTTCAAAACATGCTTCAGTGCTTGTTTGCCAGGACTGTGCAGAGGTGATCCGCTATCTGCTGAGCGTGGGCGGCTCGCGTGTCGGGCTCTTCACGTAGCTTGCTTTATTGCCGAAGTACTAGACGGCGCTATACACGGCATAGATTGCCTTGAGCTTTCGACGGCCTTCTTGCTCTTTGTTATGCGAGTCTGTGCAAGGAATGGAGGTGCACGTTCACCGGTCTGGTGGGAGGAGCTGAGCATCCCAGATCCCAGCGACAAAGCTTCAACGATGAGCCCTGAAAAGCCATAAGCCTGAACCGGAGGAGCTTGGGAGCATCATGCAGCCGCCCGAAAGGGCTTTCGTGCGCTTTGCCATTGACGGGGATGAGTCGACGAACCACCTCTACCGCCAGCACGTGAGGTGGGAGGATATGCAAACATAGCGAGATGATGAAGCATACAAAATCACAGCCAAGGACCGGACACAAGCATGTCTGTTGTCGTGCAGCACATACATGCAGACTTACATCCAAAATACGTAGTGCACGCGTGCATACATGCACATATACATGCAGCCATACACGTACATACAGTGCCATCCATGCATAGAGCTTCGTGTTCTCGGGCGACACAACATAGCTTGCACGCCCACCGGCTTGACCTGAGGTGGGAGCGCCTGATGGCAAACGTCGACGCATTTCTGGCGGCCGGGGGCAATGCGGAATGGGACTTCATCGTCTTCGAGCACAACGAGCACCAGGCGGTTTGTTTTAGGTCTTTTGGGGCTTCTCCTAATTTCACTTGGCAAAACCTTACCTGCTCTCTTATACAATTTTTCTGGATGCCTTGAAGGGAGCTTCGGTTTAAGGTTCCGCTATGGCGAGATCGCAGCTAGTAGAGTTCCTCTAGTACCTTGAAGCCTTGCAAGAAATCTCAGGTTGAGGCCATGCGCTCTTTGGCGGAGCAGAAGGGCTTCACCAAGTTCAATGCCAAGAAGACGGCCCGGTTTATTGACAAGGCACTGGCCACATGTATGAGTTCCCCGAAGGTTATCTCCGGCACTCGGCAACATCATCTAGAGCTGGCACCCTGTCCAAACCCCAACTCTGCGAAGCTGCGTGCACCAAAGACCCCATTACCCTGAACCCTCCTTAACTACCTCTGTCCTGCAGGCCCGTGGAGCCGTGAAACCCTCCGTGCCCGTGAAAGACACGTCGGGCTCGGTGGTGCGGACACTGCGGCCGCCGGCGAACCCGGCCTGGCAGAACGAGGTGGGGGGTGTGGTCAGATTTCAGCAAGATTTTGCAGAGTCCTGTCGAGGTTTCAAGGGGTTGTTTTCTTTTTTTGAGGTGCAGAGGGTGGCTGGAGTTGAGAGTGGAGTTGAGTGCGGCTTATTAAACTTACTAACTGTTTGGAGCACGGAGGGCAGAAGGGAGCAGGTTCGGGGTGTCTTTTGATGAGGCTTTTTTAGGGTGGTGAGGGAAAACTGAGAAGCGACGGATTTCGATTGCTGAACAGAACTGATACGCGAAGGTCCCCCTAATCAGCCTTTCAAAACCGATGGAGAAGGCTCAGCTTCAAGACACCCTGCAGGCAGCGTTGGAGAGCGTGCAGAAGGCAACCTGCCCTTGTGTCTTCGGGAGGGTTGCAGGAATGCTGAGGGCCATGTAGGTTGTGCTTCAGGAAGTATGATAGATCCGGAGAGCGGGAGAACCCAGAAGCCCTTTGGTCCGATCCCACTAATGCCGAAAAAAGATGGGGGATTCTCCTCGTCTCTGGCAGGCGGTGGAGAAGTATGGGAGCATCGAGGCTTACTACGACAGCTGCGAGATCTCCTGCAAAGTGGCCAAGGAGAAGGAGGCAGGACAATGCTTTTTCTCTTGATGATGTTAGTCGAAGTGGTCATGATGATGCTGATGACGATGATGGTGGCGCTGATGACGCTGATGTATAAGCTAAGTGTCACCCAGATATGTACGAATGATCATATCAATAGCAACCGCTTAATTACGCTCTTTCTCACCGTGTCGTTCTGCTTTCCTTGAGGAGAGCGCTTTGAGCCAAAAGATTTTGCAGAGGGGTGAGACTTGCGGAGTTCCTGTCTTGCAAACCCAATACCAATACTTCGATTCGCGGCGGTTCCCATGGTCTACAAAAGCGATTTAAGGTCTGCGACCTGTTTCAGGGCATGGGCTAAGGGTTCTCAGCAGGTGTACATCTCGGCGGACGGCCTGGCCTTCCCGTGCTGCTGGCTGGCGGCTGCAGCTGGGAGCCGGATTTTGTAATCCCAGTTTGGAATGCCATGATATTTCCACATTAGAGGGAGGGAGACCTTGCCGTCGTCCCTCCTAAACCCTCTGAAAGAAGGCTTAGGTGGGAGGAAGGTTAGGCAGGAGAACGAAGCTTTTTTTGTTGTAAGGCTCTTAGTTATCTTAGTCGGGATCCCCCCCACCTGGCTAAAAGCGCTATGAGCCCCAAACCCTAAACCCTAAACCCTAAACTCTGCGGCTGAGGAGATGTACCGTGCCGACCTGCCAAACAGCGGCCGGGAGGTGGTGCGCCTGGCCAAGGCAGCATTCCCTCAGGCGCCCTTGGGAGAAAAGAGGGCTTGGGGCTTTAGGGCTTTAGGGTTTAGGGCTTTAGGGTTTTAGGGTTTAGGGTCTTGGGTTTAGAGTTTAGGGTTTAGGGTTTTAGGGTTTAGGGTCTTCGGTTTAGAGTTTAGGGTTAGGGTTTAGGGTAGAGCAACTTACCATGGGTTTATAGGGTTTAAGACAGACCCAAACGGCTTTGTAGGGTACTCGTAAGATTTTTGTTATTTGTTGGCGAGCCTTCCACACGGGTGCATACACAGATCAGAAACATTTGCCGAACAAGTAGAGAATCCCTAAACCCTAAACCCTAAACCCTAAACCCTATACCTCGAAGACTTCGCGCAGGAGGGCCTCCATGCCCTTAGTGCCCTGCGGCGTGGTGTTGGGGCTGCTGTTGACCGCAGGCATGGAAAGGGCGTGATGATGATAGCAGTTTAGCAACAATAATATTCTGCATAATTTTCAATCATATTCTGAATAATCCTAATAATTAATCTGAATAGTCTTAAAACTCATAATACTAATAACATAGCAACTTGGGAGGAACCTCCTTACCAAATGTGCCTCAGCTGCAGGGCGGGCCTCTTCCAGCAGCTGGTCCCCGCCGCCATGCGGCAGCCCTCGCTGAGGGAGGGGCGGCTGCGGACGTGTTCGGGCGTGTGTGGTGTGGAGGTGCGACGTACTATTGTGGCTGCACAGGTAGGCTAGGGGGCGTAGGCTGGTTTTCAGTTTCTTTCAGCCTCCAATGTGAAATTCATCGTCGGGAGTATGCTGTCCATATCTCGACGGATAAGCTTACTAGAAAAGTCCTTCAAGTTCCACAAAAACTCAACCAGAAGCCCGACACCCAAAGCCCCAAAACCCCCAGGCCCCCAAGCCCCAAACCCTAAACTCCAAATCCCAAGCCGCTACTAGCCGAAGAATCCTAAACCCTAAGCCCTAAGCCCTAAGCCCTGAGGTGAACGCCTTCGCCAAGCAGTTCGCCGGGGCCACGCAGCCCTTGGACCCGGTGCGCCGGAGCCGCGCAGCCTCCGCTGCCACGGTCGCTCCGGCGCCCGTGGAGGGGTCGCCGGTGGAGGTTGGGGGGTTTAGGGTTTAGGGTTTAGAGTTTAGGGTTTAGGGTTTAGGGTTTAGAGTTTAGGGTTTAGGGTTTGGGGTTTGGGGGGGGACCCCTGTCAGGGTATTAGTTACAATAAACGGGGGGTGCAGGAAGGGGCGCTGTGGTAAAGGCGAAAGTTTGGGGAATTTTGCTCGGCTGATGCTGACACACACACACACCTTCTCTGCAACAACCCTCTAGGCTCCAGCCCAGTTTCAGGTCTTGTCCTACATTACATATTCTCAACGTGAACCATTTTGCCCTGACCAGCTTGACGACAGCACACTCAGCTCAGCCCCTCCAAGCTAGTAAGGCACGCTACTCTTTGGGAATCTCTCAGCCTTCAGCCTCTACTGTCAGGAGTTCCTGGGCTCAACGGCCCTAAACCCATATGTAACTCCCTTTAGCATAAGCCCTAAACCCCGTAAACCGTAGAGGTGTGGTATGGCAGCGAGACGGGCACCGCGGAGCAGCTCGCGCTGCGTGCGGCGGAGGCACTGGGCTCCGAAGCGGCGGTGTCGGTGCCACCGCCGTGGGATCAGGCCAGGGTCTGATGCCACAGACTCCAGGGCTTAAGGGTTCTCCAACATTCCTCATGAAAGGGTCAGATCCTTAGAAGCCTTGATAGAATTTGAGGGACTTGCCTTCATGAGGATGCCATGGGCCACAGCGCTGTGTCTCTGCCTCCCTGTGCTTCAGCATCAGTCTCTGTCCCCTCTCACTTTCTTTGAGAATCTGGTGATCTCTCTGTTTGCATGTCTCTGAACATTATATCTTCACCGGTGGTGGCAGAACCTACTTTTCTGCCGAATCCTCTGGAACTTGCGAACCAAATCTCCTCAGTTTTGGAACCCTCAAACCACCAACTCCAAACCCAAAAAACCAAACCCCAAAACCCAAGCCCCAAACCCTAAGCACTAAACACCAAAACCCCAAAGCTCCCAAACCCCGAAGCCCCTAAACGGCCCTAAACCTCGAAGCTTCAGCCCCACCCCAGGCCCCTTAAACGAGCTCCAGTCAGGTCGAGGCGCGTCTACATGGCTGCCGGGCCCTGGTACTGGTGCTCGCCACCTGGGGCCAAGGGGAGCCCACGGAGGAGCCAACTGCTTTTGCTTGGGTGGGAGGGGTTTCGGGTTTAGGGGCTTCGGGTTTGGGGGTTTAGGGTTTGGAGTCGAGGGTTGCTGGGTTTCGGTGTTCTTAGTAGGATTTTTTTTTGGGGGGGTTTGTCACGAAGCAACGACAGCAACACAGCAGCATGCCTTTCCGGGGCCAGGTAAGTTCCATTCGCCCCTCTTTTGTGAGTGTCGACGACTGGAGAAGTCGAGTAGCTGAAGCTTAGGAAATTGGAACACTGGCTGGTCTCTGGTGTTACGGTTGATGATATAAATCCTGCATTTCCCATGAGAGGGAATATACCATACTTCCCATGCATAGTTTATGGTCTTTAAGGTAATGCAGGATATCATCAACAGGACCTTTTTAGTATTCTGTGCTACCTCAAGTGCCTCCATCCCGGACCGCAGACCCTCCCCAGAGAACCCAGCACCCCTTTTGCCACAAAGTTTGAACAGTCTAAGCGCGGTGTATGCCTACTTAGATAGACCCCCTAAACCCTAAACCCTAAACCCTAAACCCATAGACCTATGAAAGGACGCCCAGGGCCTCTTCCGCTTCCTGCGGGAGAGGCGGGGAAAGGCGAAGAGGGTCTTCCCGCCGCTGCCCGTGGCGATCTTCGGCTTGGGGAGCTCCCTGTGGCCGCACTTCAACGCCGCTGCGAGGGAAGCCGAGGAAAGAACCGGGGGTTTACAAGTGCTCTGGGCCCGGGCCCTAGGAGCTTTAGATTTAGAGTGTGTAGGGTTGTAGGGTTTTGGGGTCTATAAGGCACGCGGGTTTAGGCAGTGTTTTCTGCTAAAGTTACCGTTGGCGTTCCTCCTCCTCTAAGTACTGCTGTCGCTGCAGCTTTTACAGCCACTTTAGCTTCAGCTACTCTTGTTCACACAGAACCAGCAACGAGGAACGATGTCACAACTCGCAACCTTTCCAAAGACAAGATCCTTGAATCATGAAGTGCTCCTGTTAAATAATACTAGGGCTACTGGGGCGATGAGGGACCCGTCATCAAGGGGAGTTCAAAGAGGAGCTGATCCGGTCCTTGGGGGCTCCGATCCTGATCCGGCTCGGCGAGGGGGATGCGGCAAAGGGCCACCTGGACTCCGACTTCGACGCCTGGCTGCAGGAGCTGCTGGTGGCCCTCAAAAAGCTACTTTGTGGTGCAATGAGGAGCCTGTTTGAAGGGTTTTCGGATGTTGTCGGTTTAACACACCCATGATCCCTGTAGCAATCCCAGTCTAACCCATGAAATCTCCAGATGATGCAAACTTTCCCTTTGGAAAGGCTGGGCCTCGATTCCAGCGGAGGCCCGCCACGGGTGCGCCGCAGCACAGACTCCGTTTCGCTTCCTGGCTCTTGTTAAGAAATGTAAGTTAGGTTACCATATTAGATGGGTTTAGGGGGTTCCGATATTAGATGGGTTTAGGGGCTTCAGGGTACCATGTTAAGGGGTCCAGAGTAAGCAGCATGGCTTCCTTGTTGTGGGATCTCAAAGTCAAGATCCTGAAGAACCCAGAGAGCCCAATACCCCTTAATTAAGGAATATACCTTTAAATTATAGGGGCCTTAATACTTATGATTTAAGGTATATTCCTGAATTAAGGGGTATTGGGTTCTCTGGGAAGAGCCCAGGATTCTGCCGATGACGGTGGTGCGCGTCACGCGGCTGGCGCCCAGGGATCCGGTGGCCAGGCCAGGGGGGGCCCCCAGTTCCTTGGGGTTCGGGGTTTAGCGAGTTCTTTGGGGTTTGGGGTTTAGAGAGTCCCTTAGGGTTTGGGGTTTAGGGAGTTCCTTATCTATTCAGGATTTCGGAGCCCCAGAAGATTTTGTTTTGGGGGCGGTGCGCACTGAGCGCCTGCAGTCCATCTTCCACGTCTCCAGCTCTCGATCTAGCGATTTAGGTTAGCACACTGGTTTAAGATTCTGGAATTGAAGCCTTGTGAAATTTTGTCTCTGGAGCTCAAACTCCAAAGCTACTCAGCGATGCCATCATTCTGAAGACCCCTCTCATAGTTCAGGCCATATATTTTCCTTCAATCATCTTTTGTCCCGATTCCTTTCGAAGGGGCCTACGTCTGCCCTAAACCCTGCAGTCTATGAGCCTTGCAATTCCCCAAGCCTGCAAATCCACAGGCATCCGTAAACCCTAAACCCTGAACCTGAAAGCCTAAAGCCTAAACCTTAAACCCTAAGCCCTAAGGCCCAACCCGAAAACCCTAAGCCCCTCAACCCCTGGGCCCGAAAACCCCGACACTCCGAAGCCCGAAGTCTTGAAGCCTCCATCCGAAACCGGGCACACCCTCTAAGCCCCAAGCTTTATAACCCTAAGCTTGAACCCCGAACTTTAACCCTAAACTGTCAAGCCTGAACTTTTAACCCTGGACTTTGACCCTAAACTTCAACCCTAAACCCTTAACCAACAACCTTCAAACCCTACCCTAAAAGGTACTTCGAGGTGCAGCTCCGAGGCGGCTTGGCACACGGTTTCGGGGACGCCCTCGGCGTTCTGCCGGCTCACGGGGGCTTCGCGGGCGCACGGAGGCCCGCGGGCACACCGCGGGGGCTGGGGGGGTTTCGGGCTCTGCTCATCTGGGCGGTTTTGTGTGTGGGGTTGGAGAAGTTGCATCGGCAGTCCCAGGGTGGGGATGTTTCTGGACTCGTGTGGATTTGGAGATTTGAGGACTGCAGGTGGGGACCCTATCGGCGTGCGGATTTCGGCGTCCAGGCCACGCTGGTACACCATCGCTTCCGCGCCGACAAGCAGCGACGACCAGGTAAGACGGGATGTCTGCACACTGAAGCCCGAACCCGAAATCAGGTTTCGGGTGTAGGGTTAGGGGGCAAATGGGCAAATTTGTTCTGGGGTTGGAAGGGTAGGACGCAGGGTTTCTGGGTGTGGGGGAGATTGTGGACCGGGGGCAGCTGGATGTTGCGGGCTTGCCTGTTTAGGAAAGAGTCCAAAAGAGCTGTGCGTGCTTCCGGAAGCAGCTTCCGTCCCAAGCCTCGAGGGATTTTTTGCAGCTCCTGCCTCGCGTGTGCAGGGAAGCAGCAATGGCGATGACCATCGACTGTGGCAAGCTGGTTTCGAAGTTCAATTCGCCTCCGGCCGCCATGAGTTTGAAAGTGGACGGGATCGTGAGGGCCGAACTTCAGGAGGAGCTGGCCACACCGAACCGGTTGGCAGGTGGCGAGATGGATGGAGTCCTAGCTTACGCCTTGAAGATGTTCCTGAAGGTGGAGGAAGCTCGCATTGATCCTGGGATGAACGTAGGCAGTGACATCATGAAGGTGCCAGTGCCGGAGCTCGGGCAGATGCTACCTCCACCCCAGCCGCATTCCGTGCAGCGACCGCCCAAGGATCCTCGTTTCCGTCCCATCCCCCTCGCCGATAGGGCCAACATCGTCTTTTCGAAAGGATCGGTGGGCCACCCCTTTAGCTGTGCAGCTGCCTGTAGGTATGTGAAGCGCAAGGGCGGCTGCCGACGCGGAGCCGACTGCAACCTCTGCCATGAATGCTTCTGGTCGAAGGACAGCGAGATGTGGGAGCAGCCCCAAGCCCAAGAAGAGAAAGTCGCGCAAGCCGGGCCCGTCTTCATCCCCAGCCAGGAGGATGTGACAGACGAGTTCGCAGGACTTCTCTCCGAGGTGTGCATGTTGCAGCCCCTGCCCCAGCAGGAGTCCTATCCTGCCTCTGCTTTCCTTGGCTCCATGGACTCCGCCGTGGGCATGGAAGGTTTTGCAGGGGTGGAGATGCCGGCGATGAACCCCGGCTCACTGGGCCATCCTCACAGTTGTGGACCCGCCTGCAAGTATGCGCAGAAATCGCGAGGCTGCAAGGATGGAGACATGTGCAGCCACTGCCACCTGTGTCAGTGGACCCGCTTCTCTGCCAAGAGCCTGAAGCTTTGAAGCAGAGTGCAAGTAGCAAGTGGCAATCATCGGACGCACAGTATGCTCACTGAGCAGAAAGCAGCCCAGAACTATTTCGGAGCTTTGGCAGATCCTAAACCCTAAACCCTGCCAAACAGTCACGCAAGCTAGGTGGAGCCTTTGAGCTTTATGCGTGCCAATCTTTCCATGGATTCTCTAAATTTCCGGCTCTTTCGCCAGCAAGCCGCTCGCAGGTTGCAGTTCTTTCTCAGTCACGATTCCTTTTGTCTGCCCGAAAGGTTGTCTAGGCATTGAACTTGCATCTCATCCTTCTTCCTCAAGCAGGAACGGCTTGTGGTTCGCGTAGGGAACACGGCGAGGACGCCTTTGTGCGGAGGTCGTTTTCCCTTTTGACCGGCTGGTCCTGACATCTGGAAGGTGTCAAGCGAGCCACCGAAGTATCTGATCGTCTTCGAAGCTTCCGTGAGCAGAGTGCCATCGTATGCCATCGTTTCTCGCCTTTGTTGGAGGGGAGAAGGACGATTTTCCGCATCACCCGGCGCTTTGCTACACTGCCGCGGAGCCACTCCATGTCCATGAGGCGTGCAGGAGTGTTGACTTCGCGCGTTTTGTTGTGTTACTGCCGAGATCGCAATGAAGAGCGCAGCTCTGTCTCACCAGGAAGACCGGGACGGCGACGGCCTTCCTGTGCTTTTTGCAGCTGCGTGGGCCCAGACACCTCAGCCTCAAGATCCTTACCCACTAAACCCTAAACCCTAAACTACGGTCGCAGTCATCGAGTTGACTTTCGTTGAGCTTTGTTATGCTAGGAGGCTGAAGGTTCCAGAATTCTACCAGACACATGTCAGGAGAGCCGAACGGAGCAGCAAGGCCGAACGTGATTCTCTCACTGTGAGTTGGTTGTGTTTTCACGTTGTTGCGTTTACTGCTAGGTACTAGTTCGAACGTGCACATTGCTACCGCGTCCACTGATGTCCTGGCTGCCCTTTTGTCCGAAGACAGCATTCCCGAGCTGAGCGGCAAGCCGCTAAAAGCTTAGCAATACCTACTAGAAACCCTAAACCCTAACCTGAACCGTACCCTCGAACGTATGTAATGTACTTTGTCACTGCGACTGCAGTCTGTTGCTATCTATGGGGCAGAAGAGCGGCTATACGAGTCGCAGGCTTGAGCTGCGATATCCACCTCCGCCTGAGAGAGCCCGGTCAACGTAATACTATTTCCTTAGGGTTCCTTTTTCCTTATTGTCTTTGTACTGTAACGTATCCTTAAAAACCTCTTCTATGTTCTCAAGACTTAAGACCTCCGAACTATGTTTCCTGGGTTTGATTGGTGGGTTGCTCTTTGTCTTGAGGTCCGGTGCGATCTTGAGGAACTCTCCGCGGACTTTTGTGAGGGGTGCGGGCGAGAGGAGCAAAAGATTGGGAATTGACAGATCCCAGGTCCTTAGGTTCCTTAAAAGGATCAATAGGTTTTTCTATAAAGGTACTATAAGGGTTTTTATCAGGCTAATGTATTATCCACGGAAGGTCGCCTGCACCCAGCAGATGCCTCAGCTGCCTTGGCGTTCCGAGTGCAGAGGCAAAGAAGCGTCTGTCCTAAAGGCCAGCTTCGCCTCTTCTCTCATTTTCGGCCCAATACCCCTTAATTAAGGAATATACCTTAAATTATAGGGGCCTTAATATTATGATTTAAGATATATATCCCTTAATTAAGGGGTAATGGGTTCTCTGGGCTCCCATCCCTGCTTTCGAAGGTGCTTCGCCTCTTGGTGCGCGAGGTCTCTGGGGGTGTCTGCTCCCCGTATCTCTGCGGCCTGCGGCCCGGAGCCGTTGTGGAGTGCCTGGCGCCCCGGCGACGTTCGCCGCTCCGAGCCGCCTGGGAGGCCCGAGAGGCCTCTCGGCTGCTCCTCGTGGCGAACGGCGCCGGCCTGGCGCCCTTCCTGGCCCTCTTGGAGCAGCTCTCCGTTTCGGACTCCCGGCCGCTCTACCTTTGGCTGGGCTGCAGAAGGCGCTCCGGCGGCCTGCTCTACGAGGAGCGGATCTTCCCCCAAAAGCTGCCTAAACCCTAAAACTGCCTGGGCCCCCAAACCCTAGAGAGTCAAGCCGTAATGTAGGAGGCCTGAATGATTGCCAACACTCGTCCTGAGTGTTCCTGCTTACACTTGCATATAGAAACATGTCCCAAAGCCCCTACTCGACATTTTGCATTGCACTGAAGGGCTTTAGGGTTTGGGGGTTTAGTTAGGGTTCAGGGTTGAAATCATGGCAAAATGTAGTTAAGATGCTCAAAGCGAAGCTCAACATTGATGTGATGCACAGGACACCTCTAGCTCACCTCCGATTTCCGTCTGCGCACCTCTCACAACCCTATGCCGACCCCCTAAACCCTAAACCCTAAATCCTGTTATTCTAACTCCCTAAACCCTCCCCCAAAGGCTAAACCCCATAAAAAGGCCCCCTAAGTTACCTGCGAGGAGCGACTCGAAGCCCTGGAAGCCCAGGGCGCGTTGCAAAGGCTTTCCGTGGCAGAGTCCCGGCCCCTGGCGGCCGGGGAAGCTCAGAAGCCATGGGTCCAGGACTCCGGTTGAGGGTGTAGGGTCTGTGTGGGGTTTAGGGTTGAGGGGTTTCGGGTTTTGGGAGGGTGCTATAAGGGTGATCATAAGGCAGGGCCACCAGGGGGGTTCTGAAAGGGATTTCGATAGGAGTTACTACAGGGGTAGTAGAAGGGCTGCTGCAACGGTTACCATAAGAGCTGCTAGCAGGACTACCAGAGGGATGAGTTTCGAGATTGCTCTAAGGGTTGCTCTAGGGGCTTACCTTTAGCATGGGGGTAGTAGCAGGGTTTTAGCGCTACGAGGGTAGGATGAGGAGGCTTACTATAGTAACGGTTTACGGATTGGAGTTACAGTACTAGGGGGTTGTCACCAAGATTACTTGGAGGATCATGGGAATTTGTAAGTCGGGTTAATAAGGTACTTATGACCCTGGTGGCCCGTTATCCTCTAAGTGCCATTAGGGTTAGTGTGAGACTTCAGGACCTGCTGAAGGCGGAGTCCGAGCAAGTCGGCCAGCTCCTGTAACTGGCTTTGAAAATCGTGCTTACAGTCAAGAATCATGGGACTTAGTAAGTAGGGTTATAAGTACCTTAATTAGGGTTATAAGCAACTATGGTTACCTTACTTCTCGCCTTACTTTCTAAGTCCCCTGATTCTTTTAAGTGCTTGGGGTTGGAACCCTGCAGCAATCACCCAAGATACTCTAACACATGAAAGGTTCGGATCGCCTACACAGCCTGGCACCGGGTTGATGCTGGTCTGCGGATCGGCTGCCATGGGCTGCGCTGTGCCCGGGAACCCAGAACGCATGGTTCGCGGGCGATTTCTTGAGGTGTAGGTTCGGGGCTGTGTCATAGAGGTGTGAACGAGAGAAGATTGAAGGCGATTGAATAGCCTTCGGCTGCAGGACCTCGAGTGTTGGGCTCGTGTCGGTTCACTGCACCCTTGTTGACGTAGTCTTTAGATATTACAACAGCCTCTCAAGAGCTTCAAGCTGCACAGTCATGAAGGAAGATGCGACTATCAACACTTTGGAGACCCACGTGCCTGCGAAGCAGGCGGGATGTGGTTTCCGTGATCGCGCAGAATCACGGCACCAGCATGGAGGCTCTTGCCGCACGGCCGCGCAACAGATCTTGTGCGTTCTACGCACGTTACGCACCGACAGCTCGTAGAACAAAGGCTGGCTGAAGACTAGAGCAGAAGCTCAGAACATGTCTGCGCCGCACACAACGTCTGAGTCAAACTACTTTAGAATCTTTAGATTAGAGGCTTAAATTCAAATAGCTACCAAGATGATTCTTTAGGGCTCTTGTTAAAATTCCACTATAAAGGAGCCCAAAACCCTATCTAATTAGTAAGGTCCCCACATCAACCCTCAACCTTAAACCCCAAAACCCGCAAACCCTGAACCCCAAGATCCTAAACCGCGAACGCCCCCCTGGACCCCCAAACCGCTCCCCAGAGAACCCCAATACCCCCTCAATTCAGGAATATACCTTACATTCTAGGAGCCTTAATATTGTGATTTAAGGTATTCCTTAATTAAGGGATATTCGGTTTTCTGGGTCCTGCAAGGAAGCAGAGGGCCTCTACGCTGCGGAGCTGTGGTGACTGAGCGCAGGGAGGCGCTGCGGCCGCGACCTCCGAAAAGCCGAGGGCCGCCTGAACACCGGGCGGGCCTGAAGTGAGGGTGTAATATAGGGGGGGTCCTGAAGCAGCTACTCATACTAACAGGTACTAATGATTACTAGTTGAGGGGTTCCCTAATTTAGTATAAGCATCGTGGCATAGTACTTATAACATACCCCTGGTTCCTAAACTCTGCCCTAAACCGGTTGTGGGTTGTGGGTTTGGGTTCCATGCAGATGTGGGCTCAAAGCAGCGCACAGGTGTTGCAGCGGCATGCGCCAAGCCGTAGGAATGCTGCTCAAAGTCGGCAGCACTCCGTCTTTGTGGCTTCTCTTTCGCACCTGAAGCCTCAACTTCCAAGTGGAAATCATGAGACTGGCCATCTCTCCCTCTCTCTCTCTCTCTCTCTCTCTCTCTCGCTTTTTCTCTCAGACCGTTTCTCTTTCCTTCCTCCCTCTCTCTCTCCCTCCTTCTTTCTGTCTCTCGCTCTCTTGGAGATGTGTCGAACTTTCGGGCTACGGTTCTCAAACCCCAAGTCCCGAAGCCCCTAAATCCTAAACCCTGAACCCCTCAATCCTAAACCCTAAACCCCTGCACCCTAAATCCTAAACCCTAAACTCTATAGACTCCTCCCAAGGTGTGACATCCACAAGGATGCCGTGGTCTGTCAAGAAGCGAAGGCTGGGTTCGTCTTTGGGGGTTGGGGACTCGGGTCCATAGCTCCCCTGTTTTTAGTGTGCTACGGTGAATGATATACATCCTGCATTGCCTTAAGGACCCTAACCTATGGGGAGTTATGGTATATTCCTTATTATGGGTAATGCAGGGTTCATATCATGAACTGTATGAGGTTCGAAAGAAGGGTTCCATTTAAAGGTACTGTGGGCTTCTATAATTGGCCCAATGGATTTCCCTCAAAGGGTAGTATGGGCTTCCATAATAGGGTCCCTTTGAGCGTACTGTGGGCTTTCTATATACTAGCGTCCCTTTGCGGGTACTATGGGGTTCTATACCAGGCTTCCCTTTGAGGGTTCCCTGTCCCTGGGCCAGGCAGGAGGCCAGAGATTTGCTCCTCTAACAAATTGAGGCCCCCCAGTTTCGAACCTTTACATAGCGACCCTGAGAAGCATCCCTCAACAAAAAGGAACCCTATGGGATACACTGTCGTACAGAGCTCAAGAAGGGGGGGCCGTGAGTTCTTAGGGAAGAGCGCAGTTCTGCCGCATGTGGATGTTGAGATCCCGTTCAGCCTATTCCTGGCAATATACAATACAGAAAATTTATTACACCGCATATGTTATAACATATGTAAGAATGCTGGATGTTTGATCATAGTAGGAGTCAGTGTTCTCAGACTTGTTTGCTTTGTAACGAGGTGCAGGGCACCCACAGCATCAAGGTGGGTGAGGGAACGGCTTCTCGAATGCATGCAGGGGTTTGGGCTTGGGGGTCTAGGGTTCTGGGTTTAGGTGCTAAGGGTTCAGGGTCTCGTGCCTGTAGTCAGGGTTCCAGGTACGCTTTTTTCAATGAGGCAACAGCAGGTGTTTCAGTTTCAGTCTGCCCAATGCTGCCAGCAAACTTACGACTTACGACCCTTTAAAGCTCGAGCACGAGATTGACCCTTAAACCCGGGAGCAAAGCAAGGCCGCACGAAGTGCTGAGGCGTGCTCCTTGAAACTCTGATGCATCTTCACTTGTATGTGGGTAGTTCTCTAAATTAGGGTCCCTTCTTAGGTCCCCAATGTAGTACGGCACCCTTATAAAAAAAGGACTCCACCCCAAAAGGGACCCTAAGTTAGAGAACTACCCATGTGCCCCCTTCCCCCGCAGAGCCCAGGTCATTCATCCCGCCTGCATCCTCCATGCAAAGGCCCCGAGAGGGCTGGGGATCCCCGAGAGAGAGAGAGAGAGAGAGCTCGAAAAGCAGCTAAGTTTTCTTCATGAGCATCTGGAGTATCATGTGAAGTAGGGTTCATTATGCGACGGAGATGCGAGTGCTGAAAGATCAGGGTCATGTGGTGTTCTCGATGTACATGCTGGAAGATGCAGCTCTGACTTGCTCTGGCTGTTGTGTTCTGTGAGACTTACACCGCTTGCTCACGGAACTGCGACTCTGTGACCCTGATTGAGTTCAGGCCGGCCCAATCGTGATCGGCCGATTCAACGTTCTTGAGGCAGCCTTTGGGCGTTATCCGTCCAAGGGGGGAAGCCACAGGCTTTCAGGCTTTCATGGCCTAGCGTGCAATCGTAGTCTGGGGCGCGGTGACTCTGTGGTGCGCTTCATGATCATGACCCCATAAAACCCCATAAAAACCCAGAGAGCTCCCTGCATGACCCCCATTCAAGGCCCCTTGCCTGAGCTTGAACGGTTTGTCCTGAAGCCTTTCGCAAATCTAAAACCCTAACCCTAAACCCGAAACCCCACACCCTCAACCCTAAACCGGAAACCCCTAAACTCTAAGCCCTAAACCCCAAACCCTAAACCCTAAACCCTCAACCCTCCTAAACCCCCAAGCCCCTAAAACCAAGCCCCTAAACCCCCAAGCCCCTAAACCCGAATTCCGAACCCTCAGCCCAAAGCCCTCGCGACTGGAGGAGCAGGTGGAGGTCGTCAACTCCTCGGACCAGCCCCTGGTCATCGGCGACCACAACGTCTTAGAGGCCCCGAACACCCCCAAACACTCCATGCTTTTATAACGGATGGGGTTTTAAATGAGGGTTTTGCTAGATTTTGTAGTTGGCTCTGTATGTCTTTATGAGGGTTTTCTTTTGGTTTTGCGGTTTTGCATCGGATGTATAGGGCTCTTGGAATCGGGATTTATATTGCATGAAAGGCCCTCATGGAAGAATGTAAGACACCCTTGTCTCTCACGTTCGATTTCTTGCTTCACCTCCGGCATCAGACCTAAAGCCCCTAGACACCCCATATCAAGCGTAACAGCACCCCAACATCCCGTACGAACTCATGCGAACACCCCTAAACCAAACAATATACACTCTCGTGCACAGCGTAAAACAAATAAGCATCTTCCCTGTAAAACAACAGCAAAACGAAACCCCAAGCAACCCTAAACCCTAAACCCTAAACCCGAAACCCTAAGCCCTAAGCCCCCCAAGCAATGCCTGCCGGAGAGGTGGGCGCCCGGGTCCTCGGCGGTGGAGGCCCCCGCCTGGGCGACGCGAACCTCCTTGAGTCGGGGATCCCAAAGTGGCCGGGGGTTTCTAAAAATAAGGGTTTAGGGTTTAGGGTTTGGCATTTGATATTGCTTATCCAGTGCAAAAACACAGACGAAAACTTGGTTTGGGTGTATCACGGAGTGCTGCCACACACAGAGATCTCCCACTATTCCTGTGCGAATGGCACGTCAGAGTCCCATAATTTTTGAGGGATTTTTAGGGTTCTAGAAGGGTTTTAGAGTGTTGTTGCTACAGAAAAGGAAGGTTTTATAGGGGTTTGGGCTCGGGGTTCTTGAGATTGTGGGTGCCGAATCTCGGGGTCCTTAAAACCCCTCAGACTCTAAAGGAGCATCGCTCGCTCTCTTCCTGTAGCATGTTTTGAGACGGGGTTCTTGCTGTTCTTACATGGAGTTCGAAAAAAATTGCGGAGTGGCGAGGTTTTGGTATGAGGTGTCATCGAATTGCGCAGTTTCGCAATGCAAAGTTCAGGGTTTCGGCTTTGAGTCTTTTCCGCGTTGGGACTGTGCGGCTTAAGGATTAGATTTCACTTGTTCCAGCTAGAGCTAGGGACCCTTACACAAACCCTTAAGGGAACCCTGCAGCCACGAAGCCGAAGATGTCGAGGATCCGGGCCACCTTGGACGAAGGCTGCTCCGTCCGGGCCTCAAAGGTTTCGACCCCCGGAAGTCGAGTTCTCCAAAGCTTCCCAGAAAAGGCCTTTCATCGGGTTTAGGGTTTAGGGTTTAGGGTTTAGGGATGAGAACTTGAGCTAATAGGGTCTTTTTCACGCTGCAGGGTCTCAGATAGGGCCCTCAACCATGACAGTCATGTTCAGCAGGGTGAATTTCCGTATCAGTCTAGGGGTTGCATAAGCGCTTATTTCAAGCAATCATTTAGATCCCTCTTGTGCTCTTAGGGCTCAGGAGACTTTTCAGGTTCATAGTACCACCTGGGTGCCATGAGTGCGCCTCCCTTCCTCA